TGAATGTATTTAATGCCACTGACTGTACACTTAAAAATGGTTAAAATGGTAAATTTTGCTATGTATTTTTTACCACAATATTTTTAAAAATTCTAAAATCCTTAACGTGACCCATGAAATCAAAAGGAAGGGATAAATTAGTAGCAACATTTCAGTCTGATGGGTAACATCCCAGAATGATGCACTAGTGAGAACTTCTAGGCCAGTGGTTCACAACTGGGGAGGATTTGCCCCCAGAGGGCATCTGGCAATGTCTGGAGACATTTTTTATCATGGTAAAATGTTCGCCATCTTAATAATTGTTAAGTGTGCAATTCAGTGGCAATAATTACATTCACAACCAACACTACTATGTTTCTAAAACTTTTTCATAGCCACAAATGGAAACTGTGACCACTCATCAGTAACTCCCTGTTTCTCCTTCTGGAGACACTGAATATCATGACTACTACCTGGCGTGAAGGATGCTGCTGGCATCGAGTGAATCGGGGCCATGGATGCTACGCAACATCCTACAATGCACAGGACAGCCCCTCAGGACAAAGAATTATCCGACACTAAAGGTCAATAGTGCTGAGGTTGAGAAGCCCTGCTTGAGGCTGACATGAGCATTTGGAACAGAAACTGATCATCATACCACACAGGTTCTACTGTTATGCAGAGGAAAGCTGTGCAACAGCAGGAAGGACTCTTAATTCAGACACATCCAAGTACATGCCGGGGCCTCCAACAGATTCCTTAGCTGCTACTTCTCCTGGCAGGGCTCTCTGGGAATGCAATGATCCCCACTACTAACATTTGGGTTATCAAGAGGATGCCTAAGGGTGAGGTCATAGCAAAAGTGGCCTTTTTGGAACAAAACTGCATAAGGAATAGGCACTGGCAAGAAAGGTGACTCTGAGGAATCAGAACCCCCTGGTGGTCGCAGCTTTGCCACTGAACTCCCATTCAACAAACCAGGAATAGCCAGACAGCCAATTCATAAGCACGTTCCCAAAATGAGGCTACGCAGCCCTTCCAGGAAGGGGGCCACAGCCCAGTCAAATCCCAATTCACACAGCAACAGAGGCAAAAAGCTGAATGAGTCATCAACAGATACAGTGGAAGAGGGGTGGATCTTGAGCAAGTATGTAGGGAAAAAATCCTGTATAGTTCAAGATTATCCAAAAACTTCCTTAGGAAGCAAACATGCATTCTGAAAAGGTTCAAAGCAGTTTCCTCCAGTTTTGGTGAAGTTCGGCTGAGCACCTGGTAAGCAGCCAGCTGGTATTCAAGCCATACTATATATAATTGTGTTTTATTTTTTAGAAATGAGGTCTTGCTCTGTCACCCAAACTGGAGTGCAGTGGCATGATCATAGCTTACTACAGCCTCCATCTTGGTTGCAGTGAGCTGAGATCATGCCATTTGCACTCCAGCCTGGGTGACAAGAGGAAGACTCCATCTCAAAAACAAAAACAACATAAAAATTAGCTGGTCTTGGTACCGTGCTCATGGAATCCCAGCTACTCGGGAGGCTGAGTCAGGAGAATCACTTGAACCCAGGCAGTGGAGGTTGTAGTGACCTGAGATCATGCCACTGCACTCCAGCCTGGGTGACAGAGTGAGACTCCATCTTAAAAAAAAAAAAAAGTGTGAGCTTCAGAGCCAGAACCAGACAGACGTGGGCTTGAGCCCAACTCTGTCCCATGCTAACTGTGTGATCTCAGGCAACTTACTTAACTTCTCTGTGCCTGCTCTTTTCTGAATTGTGGCCTCCTCCCAGGGTTGGGAGGGTTAAATGAGGTAATTCATAGGTCAAGGGTTTAGCACAGGCACTGACCCATTCAAAGTGCTCAATCATATCATCATTAAGTACCTTTGCCATCAGAACACAGATGCAGAACAGCTTCTCACTTCATCTTGAAGCAGCCTGAGACCTGTACCTTCCTGGCCCTCACTGTCACAGGTACTGGACTTCAAAGGATGAGGTCAAGGTGTCATACATTCCCTTGTCCACAAGGCTGGCCCTAACACAGTGATAGCACCAGATCTGCGCTGTCACCTCTCCCCACCTGAGCACAGGCTCCTGACCCCTCCACAGGGAGTGTGGTGGTTAACATGGTTCAGATATTCTGTGCCTCAATTTGAGTACAGGTTCCTTCATTGTCTAGCTGCCTGACTTTGGGGCTATTTAACTTCTCTATGCCTCAGTTCTATCAGGTGAAAAATGAAGATGATAATTGCTCCTTCCTTGGGATTACTTAGAACCGTGCCTGGCAAGTAGAAAGTATTCCCTTTTTTTTTTTCTTTTTTAAGAAACAGGGTCAGGGCAAGACACAGTGGCTCATGCCAGTAATCCCAACACTTCGGGAGGCTGAGGAGGGCTGATAACAAGGTCAAGAGTTTGAGACCAGCCTGACCAACATGGTGAAACCCCGTCTCTACTAAAAGTACAAAAAAAAAAAATCAGCCAGGCATGGTGGAGTGTGCCTGTAATCCCAGTGACTCAGGAGGCGGAGGCAGGAAAATCACTTGAACCTGGGAGGCAGAGTTTGCAGTGAACTGAGATGGTGCCACTGCACTCCAGCCTGGGAAACAGAGCAATACTCCATCTCAAAAAAAAAAAATTATAAACAAAAAAAAAGAAACAAGGTCTCCCCATGTTGCCCAGGCTGGAGCTGCAACAGCCATTCACAGCGTGGTCAAAGTGCACTATAGCCTTGAATTCCTGGGCTCAAGTGATCCTCCTGACTCGGCCTCCTGAGTTGCTGGGACTACAGGTGCACAATACCATGCCTGGCTTTTTTGTCGTTGTTTTTAAACCAAAGAGACAGTCTCTGGGGCCTCAAATTCAGCACTGTCTCAAACCCACCTCATTTCAGCATCCCTCACCCCACACAGCTTTGAGTTCAATGCCACTCTGGAGACTCTTTAGCCCTTTTCCTAGTGCCTATAGCAACCTCCTCACTGCTTCCTATCAGCACACTGTCCATCCTCAAGTGTAGGCAAATTTGATGCCTTCCTCTGTGGCCCCAGCCCTGGTAGTGTCTGATACACAGCAGGCACTGAGTAAGCAAATAATTTGGCATCTATCAGATACACTGAAAATACTAATTGGATTTTTTTTTCCAAGACGGAGTCTTGCTCTGTCGCCCAGAGCTGGAGTGGAGTGATCTCGGCTCAATGCAACCTCCACCACCGGGTTCAAGGAATTCTCCTGCCTCAGCCTCCTGAGTAGCTGGGATTACAGGCGCACGCCACCACACCCAGCTAATTTTTGTATTTTTAGTAGAGATGGGGTTTCACCATGTTGGCCAGGCTAGTCTCAAACTCTTAATCTGCCCATCCCCGCCTCCCAAGGTGCTGGGATTACAGGTGTGAGCCACCGCACCCAGCCAATACTCATTGGATTTAAAGGTTCCAAATACAGCATCTCAGAGGGAATTGTGGGTAGTTGGACTAGGGCAGCAGGTTCTATCTGGAAATGTCAGCGTTACAAAATGCCAGTGGGATGAGAGAGAGTCTGAGCTCCAGGCTCCACCCCCTCCTCAGGCCAGCACGTGAGGTTAATAGTTTCCCTCTGGCCTCTGGTTCTGGTGCCCCTTTGCTATCACTAAAATTTTGGGCTGGGCAAAAGACCAGAACAAGCCACAGGTCTCACTATACAGACCAGTTCTTTACTTCTCTCAGGTTTCAAGTGCTCAAGTTCTACTGGAAGTGAGCTTTGGGAGTGCACACCTACACAATTCTGCCTTTTCCATCTTTTTAAATCTGCTCACTCAACCCGCAAGGGAAATGTCTGTGGCATCAAAAAGACCCTCGGCCCACCCAAAACACCACAGGGCTGGTAAGAGCCTAGCTGCAACCTGCAGCCACTCCCTCAAAGGCAAGGCACTAGGTCACTGTATCCATAACCACTGCAACCCCACCAGTCAGGGAGAGAACACTAGGAACACTGGTGAGAGCTGGGGCTTGGACTTCGACATGTCAACCTAAGAATGCACTGATATCTTCACCCACAGTCAGACACACTCAGGTACCAGCCCTAACAAGTCTTACCATGGTTGGGGCTTTATCTGCCATGTCCCTGGCACAGGCAGACAGCCAGGAAGCTGGGCACTGCCAGTCAGCAAGCAAACTGACTATAGCTCCAGACCAAGGTGTCTGCCACCACACTCTACCTGCCACACCCACCTGCAGGCTGCCTTCTTCCTCCTTGATCCCCAGCACCCCGCTGCAGCTTCATCGAGGCTGGCAAGCAGACAAGACCTCCACTGCACCCAAGACCATGCCACACTAAGTGTCAGACAATAGGACCAAAACCCACTGAGAATACAGAGGCCGATCTAACGCAAATGTATCTGCATTTGAGGAGGCCACTGAAATCTCACCAAGACCCAGCCTATGGAAAACAAACTTCTTGCCATATTGATTCACAGTGGCAAACTTCTCCTCCAGTCATTGGCAGTAGAAAGAGCAGCAGGGCTCTCAGCCTGCCAATCCTGTGTTGATCTGCTTTTTACAACATAAGATCTGTAAAAATAATTAGCAGTAACAATTGATTCCTACTGATTCCTAATGCCCCACAGTTGCTTCTGGAGACCATCTTTCCGGAACTTTCCATACGTAAGTTCTTTGGTAATGAGTCTCCTAAGCAGCTCCTGAAAGTGGGATCTAGCGTTGGCTGACAGGAAAATCGGCAATTTTCCAAGTTTGATTTTAACTGAAATTTGGAACTGGGAGTACTTCTGGTACCCCCCTTCAGGGATGTGAACGTTAGGAGATGGAACCCGGGCACAATTCGCATCCTTGGGAACCGAGGCTTTCCCACTATCCCCTGCCACGAGGAGTGGCCTGGAATATCCGGGGGAGACAAGCAGAGTGAGGTGAGTCGGGGTCCCTGCTTCCGGCAGGGCGCAGAGGAGGTAGCGGCCCCGCCCCGCGCTCCCAGCAGGCCTCAATTTCCCGTTCTCGAAGGGGGTCTCCCGTGCGACCCAGGGCCCGGGCGGGCCGCTCACCTCGCGCGCAGAGAGGAGCTGCTGGCGCAGCGCGTCCTTGCAGCCGTAGGGGCCGCCCTCGCCCGCGCCGCGCGGCTGGAAGTGCGCCTCGACGCGCGTGGCGCCGCGGTAGGCGCCCCGGTAGAAGGCCGGCCAGCCGAGCTCCAGCAGCGGAGGCTCCAGGTCAGACTGCTCGGGGAAGTAGGTGCCGGACGAGCAGTCGTGCGAGGAGCCGAACGAGTCCTCGGCCGCCGCCGCCGCACCTTCCTCTCCCGGCCGCTCCGCCGCGCGCAGGATGGCGTGCACCTCATCCGGGTTCAAGAAGCGAGCCAGGCGCTCGCGTCGCAGGAAGGCCGCCAAAGCTTCCGGGCCGCCGGCCACCAGCTCCTCCAGCGCCAGGCGCCGTTCCTCGCTGAAGAGCTCGGCTGGATTGGGCGGCCCGCACGGCGACAGGCAGGCGGTGGGCAGCTCGTCCAGGCCCTCAGACAGCAGAGCCATAGCGGCGCTCCGACGCGACAGCCCTCGGACAAAAGCCGGCGTGAGGGCCTGCTTTATAGGCAACCTTTGAATCAAACAGGCCCGCGCCATTGGCCGCACCTCCCCGCCTCAACTCTCCCATTGGCTGATTTCCTTCCAATAGCGGCGAGGCGGCTCCGCCCCCTGATGCATCATTGGCTGCCGGCACAGTGGAGCCTTTGCTCTCAATGCTGGGCTGTTAAGTGGAATTTAAACTTGAAAGGGCGGGGCGGGCAGCAGAGCAGGTACAGAGGCGGGACAGCCGGGCTCCTCGCCGTCCCAACACGCCCCCTGCCGGCCGTCCCACAGAGCGACCTCACAAGGCAGCGACAAGAGGCTGGTGCCGGCTCCCAGACACGCTGGCCACGCTGCTCCTAGGCTCTCGGAGCTTTGGCATGGCCAACCATATCGCCTTTATCCCCTGCATTTAACTGTGTATTCATTCATTCATTCATTCATTCAAAAAACACCGGTTCATTGTATTAGGAACTCTCCTTTGATTACACCCTAGGGTAGCCTTCTCTCATTTCACTGGTTTTTGACTTGTAAAACCCCCACCTACCTTGGTTACACGCTACTTTCCACCTGCACCGCTGCAGCCCTACAGGGCTGGAGAAAGAAAGAACATAACCATGCTTACTGACGGATCGCGCTTTCAATTCATGATCCTTAAAACTGCCTGCTAGGAGACAGGGCCCATGCTGTGGCTCACGCCTGTAATCTCAGCACTTTGGGAGACTGAGAAGGGCGGATCACCTGAGGTCAGGAGTTCAAGACCAGCTTGACTAACACCTGAGGTTCGAGACCAGCTTGACTAACATGGTAAAACCCCGACTCTGCAAAAAAATACAAAAATCAGCCGGGTGTCTTGGTGCATGCCTGTAATCCCATACTCGGGAGGCTGAGGCAGGAGAATCACATGAACCTGGGAGATGGAGGTGACAGTGAGTTGAGATCACAGCACTGCACTCCAGCCTGGGTGACAAGAGCGAAACTTGCTGCCTGCTAGGCTGTATTTCCCGCGTTCTCTCTACCTTTTCCTCTCTGACAGCTTGCTTCCTAGTCGCTGAGAACACAGAAGCAGTGAGAAGGGAACTTTCACATGCGCCCATCCAGTCTACCTTCCTGTCTGCATCTCTGCCCATACACAGGGCATTGATGAACTGCTCCTGCACCATCCAACCCCAACTCCTCTGCCTGGGCACTTCCAGCCCCTCTACTCACCAGCATCACTCCAGCAACCTCCTTCTTTCTCCTGGAACATCAGCGTCCCTCTTTACTGATTCATTTCTATAAGCCTACACACATATTGAAACATCTTCATCTTAAAACAGCCCTCTCTTGATCCTACATTCCTCTAAACCTCCCCATTTCTCTTCTTACTTTTGCAGCATAAAACCTCAGACATGGCTGGGCATGGTGACTTGCACCTGTAGTAATCCCAGCACTGTGGGAGGCCGAGGGAAGAGGATCACTTGAGTCTCGGAGTTTGAGACTAGCCTGGGCAACATAGCGAGACCTTGTCTTTACAAAAAAATACAAAAGTTAGCCGGGCATGGTGGTGTGTCTAACTTTTAGTGCATGGCAGTCCCAGCCACTGGGAAGGCTGAGGCAGGAGATGACTTAAGGCCAGGAGTTTCAGGCTGCAGTGAACTATGATCGCACCACTGCACTCCAGCCTGGGTGACAGAGCAAGACCCTGACTCAAAAAAAAAAAAAAAAAGAAAAAGAAACCCTCAAACCAGTTGTCTATAGTTGCTGTCTCCAGTTCTCTTCCAGCCCTCTTCAATCAGGCTAAAACCCCCACTGCTTTACCAAAACCCCTTGTCAGGTTCATCATGAGTTCCACACAGCTAAATCCAACAGTCAATTTTCAGCCTTTATCTTCTTTGTGTAAACGAAAAGAGCATCATAAATGTGAGAAGTTACCATTATTATTTAGCAATGCCTCTCCCTCTTTCCCTCCTCTCCCCATTTCCATCCATTTGTGAAGTTTCTCAGGACTAAGTGTGGGGACTTCCGTGTGTCCCTGCTCCAGTATCCAGGGTCCAGGAGGCAACAAGAGAGCACACTTTTCACCCTCTTTCAAAACACCAACAAAGTTCTGTAGGGGACAAGGACCAAGAACCGTGGTCTGAGGCTGTGCAACCACAGCTTCTCTATGCCTCACAGTAAAAAATGAGAATGGCCAGGAGCATAAGCACTTGAAAGGAAGAACTGGAATGGGGCAGGGGGGAAAGTACCGGACACATCAGTGCACTCCAACAACAGGACAAAGGAGAGGGGCACTCTTGTTACATATAAATGTCATCAGGGGCCAGCACAGTGGCTCACGCCTGTAACCCTGCACTTTGGGAGGCCAAGGCAGGCGGATCGCTTGAGGTCAGGAGTTTGAGACCAGCCTGGCAAACATGGTGAAACTCTGTCTCTACTAAAAATACAAAAAGTTATCTAGGCATCATGGCAAGCACCTGTCATCTCAGCTATTCAGGAGGCTGAGACAGGAGAATCGCTGGAACCTGGGAGGCAGAGGTTGCAGTGAGCAGAGATCGCACCACTGCACCCTGGATGACAGAGTGAGACTCCATCTCAAAAAAATAAAAATAAAAATAAAAATAAATCAAGAAAACCTTGGAACATGTATGGAATAAATATATGCTATTACAGGGCTTCATGTTAATTTCAAAGAGAATATTTGACAGAATGAAGGTCATTCCCAACCACCTACCTTTTCTTGAAGTCATCAGCTTTTACCATCTCCCAGTCTGGAGAGACATCTGCTCCAGGTCTGAGCCCCCAGAACTCCCTTCAGGGGTCTCATGCGAGAGCCCTCCGCAGGGATGGGGGCGTCAGGGGGAAGAGATCAGACGCCCTTACCCACCCTCTAATCCAGGAACCTCCTCTTTGTGAATTTAAGTCAGCACTGTTCAAGTGAGCTCATAGCAATAATCAGTCACACTAGCAGGTGTTATTAAAAGGAATTTAATAATTTTAATTAAAAACTCTTAACAGCGATTTCTGTCACAGGCCTTGGTAGCTGGAAGCAACTCCAGGGACATGTGCCCCCTCTGGGATGTGGCTGAGCCACGGTTTCGGACCCGAGGCCCAGCATTGCCGTGTGGCAAGGGGCTACCTGGAAGTTACTTCAGTACGATATCAAAGATCCGCGAGGATTTTTTTTTAAAAAAATTTTAAATATATTAGACTCTCTTGATTGCCATTTTTACACAAAGCTGCTGATACAGTATACAGAGTTTTAACTTTTTTTCACATAAAATACATTTTTTTAAGTGTTCTCTGTACATCAGTGGCTTCTGGTCTGGTGAATTATTGCGGAGGGCTGGGGGTCTGCAGACTTTTCCTGGGTGTGCAGAGCCAGGCCCCGCACGGTGGCACTTGCAATGCCCATGGGAAGCAGGCCCTCTGGCCAAAAAGAGACTCCTATCAGGGAGAGGGCTATAGCTTCTGGCACAAGGGGTCACTTTTACAGAGTCATCCACTGACCACTGGACCTTTTGCTCTTATGTGCCCTGGGGGAGGGGAGACCATCCCCAAGTTACAAATAGCGAGGGTTCAATACAGTCTTTCTGGGCATCTTAAAAGGAGCACCCTTCTTGAAAGTACCCCAGTATCCTGCTCTAGGAGAGAGAGCAGGTAGGCGAGAGAGCTCAGGATGAAAAGGTATCTGACACCAGCAACCAAAATGGTCTCATGTTATTACAAAGCCAGTAAACTGGTGGGGCAGGACAGGGGAAACACCCTTGTTAACTGTTCTAAGCCCCTTGGAAATGGATCAAACAGTACAGAGCAGTTTTACTTATGCTGCATATTTGATGGAGAATTCTATCCTGAAGTCTTCAGTAGCCCTGGGCCTAGAGTTTATTCAGCTTCCCTAAGCTACTGGCCAGAAACTCACAGCCTGGTGGTAGTTGTCAACTTTCAATTGTTTGGGGCATATGATGGTGAGCCATGCAGTGCCTGCTTTGGAAGTGGCCTCCTTTAATCTAATGAGGAGCTGCCACAGGACCTGGGTGTCAGCAGGAGCTAGGCATGTGGTTGACTTTGCCGGATTTCTTTCAGCTCCCAGATGCACCCCTGCCATAAAGGGAGGCAGATTCCTGAGGAAAGGCTTTGATGCTGAAGGAAGCAGCTCCAGCTCCTTTTCCTACCACTATTCATTAGTGGGGTGAGGGGGCTCTGTAATAAATGAGCCGCCATGAGCAAGAAACAATGACTTTAAAAACCTGAGATGCATTTGGCAGCAAATTGCAGAACAGTCTTTTAGACACTGATCTCAAGCTGCTATTATAGAGTCCCCCAAAGATGCTGGCTGAAGACAGCTATCACTGAAAGTTCCAGATGGACCTGGATGCTGTCTGCTTGGAACCCAAGATCCAGCATCTGTACTTGGTGGCCAATGTTATCCAGGGATGGCTGTGACAGCTGTTACCAGCTAAAGGGATTCAGACTCTAAGGATTCTAGGAGCTGAAAAGCAAAGGGTCACTGACCAAGATGCAGACACTTTGCCTCAGGTGACTTGAATGGGACTGCTGATGCCTGTGGTCCCTAAGGGACAGAAACCACAAAGAACAGTTTTCCTTACTCTGTCTTATTCCTCCTTTATCTGCAGAACCTAAGATACTTGCTGGCATGCTGCAACTACTCAGTAAATTATATGAGTGAGTTAATTTTGGCTCATTCATTGAGGGTTGATCTTCGGCTCAACTCTCAACACCCAGGAGACCTACAGGGAAAGCTCCCCAGGGACTCCAGAGAGGGAATGGTTTATCCCTGGGTGAAAACATGAGCCAGTGCCTGAAAGTCACCTGTGTGTGAAGTCAGCTCCTGTCAGGGAATCAGCTGGGATTCCCAGCCTTCTGGGTGGAGAGGAACAGCCCAGGAGGCAGGAGGCATGCAAAAAGGAGAGAATGGCCTCAGGTGCTCAGTGGGTGAGGCAGTATATGCCTTCAGTGTTTGGCCCCTGAGCAAAAAGAAAACCTGCACAGCTCTCTCCTGAGGAGCATATGGTTTCCCTCACACTCCCTACCTTGTAACTAAGGTTGGCTCACGAGGGATTTCAGCATCAGTCTGGGCTGATACTGTTTTACAGCCAAAGGTAAGTGTGTTTTAGATCATCTTGTCCTGTTCTGGCCACAGCCTGAGATGTTAAAGAGCCCACCCCAGATGCCAGCGACATGGGAAGCATCTGTGCACCTGTCTTCAGCCTCCTGAGTCGCCTCCAAGTCTACTCTAGACATCTAACCTGGCATTGGGGTGGAGGTGCCTGATGCTGAGAACCTCTCCCCTTCCAGCAGCCACCAAGGGTGCAGTCACTCCCATGGACCCTCTGCTCTCTGGCCCAGCTCCCCTGCTCCTGGGAAAGCACACCCAGGTCCCTTCAGGTCCAGCTCCCTCTGTGGGTTATGGGGCCACGGGGGCCACAGTAGGGGGCTGAGAATGACAAACAGCAGACCCCATAACTAGAGCTGTGGCACAAGGCGGGGACGCTCTTCCAGCCCCAAGCCCCTAGTCCAGGTACCCCTCAGGGAAAGTTTCTTGTAGACTGAGAAATAAGTGGATTAAAAAGAACCCAGATCTGTTCCCCAAATTAGAATCTGGACCTAGGGCGCCCCTTCAGAGCTCTAAGGAGGTAGTTTAAGGACAAATCAAAGGCGCATAGAGCAGGGGACACACCTGCAGCTTGTTGGTTACACCAAAAGATTCTGGCTGAGCCTGTGGACAGTGGGGGTCCTGGGAGCATCAGCAGTGAGGGGAGAACAGTCATTCACATTTGTCCCTCCCCAGCATCAGGAAACCTGGGGCTATGAAACTGCAGAGCTGGGCAAGACCCAACTCCAGCCCTACCACGGATCTCCTGAATGCAGGACGGGATACCGACCATGTGATCCCTGGGTTCGCAGCCTTGGGGCATCACCACTCCTGCAAGACCAGGCTGGGAGCCCCTGGGCTATGCAGGAACTCAAAAGGGCTGACTGGCAAATCTGCCTTACCAAGCATCCCCAAAAAGGCAAAAGCTGGGCCCGGGGTCCTGAGCACTGACTGATGTGGGTGGATGGGGGTGGGAGGTGGAGGCAGGCAGGCCCCTAACTGCTTGCTCTGACAGCTCAGTCTGAAGAGGGCTGGCTGAGATGGGCTGGGCTGAAACTGTCTAGATATTCACAAAGATCTCAGGGTGCTGGGATCTGTCATTATTAACCAGCAGTATTTTCTTATATTAACTGGCCTCTTTCCCTGGAAAAGCATTCCTATGGAAGCTCCTCATTTAGCTTCATTTTTCCAGCACCAGCCAGTAAAACCCAGTGACCATGATACAATCCACAAAAAGAAGCGAATTCAGTTACCTTCCTCCCTGTTGAGTTTTACAGACTAAAGGAATTTTTTAAATCAGATACACTTTGGTAAATACTGACCTTGTCCCCATCCCCCACCCTTCTGCCTTTGACACTTCCATCCAAGAGCAAAGCATGATTTGGTTGATTCCAGGAATGGAATCGCCTGGTTTCCCCCTCCACCCCTGGATGGTCACACAGCTGGCTCCTGGCATGGGCAGAAGTGTGCCTCTCAACAAGGCTGCGGGGAACAGGTCTGTGCCCATCTTATCTACCCATGTAGGTTCCTGGCTCCCTCTGAACACAATGAGGACTTCTTGCCCCTGCCAGGTGTGGCTGGTGGCCCAGACCTTGGAACGACTCTGAGCAGGACTATGGGTCTCTGCTTAGCAGGCCCCTTCCCCTGCTAAAGCCACATTGGCAGTGGTAATGAGACTCTGGGTCTTAACTTCCATCCTTTTGGGAATACCCCACACATTCTCAGCCTCCTTGCTTCCCCTGAGCCCAGGTATGTCATTTCTACACACACTGATCAAATGTGTGTGTTTGTGTGTGTGTGTGTGTGTGTTGATATGTGACATGCACGTACTGATCCGGAGAAGCCTTTATACCAAGAATAGAGCTGGGATCTCAAGCCCACCCTCCCAAGATCGGATAGCAGAGTGAGCCAGGAAGCCACAATGGGCCTTGTGTCAGATGGCAGACAATGCAGCAGGAAGCAGAACCATGGGACGTGGGACATGGGATGCTATGGGCAGCCAGGTGAGGGGTGGGGTCTGAGTTCCTCTGAAAAGCAGAGCCCACCTGTCCCCAGCTGCCCTCTGACACCTCCCTAGCCAGGGCTGATGGGCTGGCCTGGATTCCAGAAGCCTCTCCCCAGGAATCTCCCTCCTCCATCGCATGGAGACTAGGAGATACGGCAACAGCCATGCACCTTTTCCTCCATCTCCTCTATGGGGGCCTTGAACTTTAAGAGTGGGGGATCTCCGCTGGTGACCGTGTAATATACCGAGGTCCCATTGCTGCTGTACGGTGAAGTTCTGCCTCCGATCAAGGGGGCCTTGCCTTCACTGCTACTCTCGCCTGTCCTGGCCATGCTGCTGCCCAGGTGGGTGCTAAGGAAGGGGTGACTGAGCAGCTTGGCTGCAGCCCGCTGCCGCTTCAGCTCCAGAAGCGTTTGAGGGCTCTCCTTGTAGCTGCTCCAGGGCGGGGTGGCGTCGGCCACGCCAGGGTTGCCATAGGCCATGCTGTAGTCGGGCACCTCATGCACCTTCCAGACATCCCCATTGGCCAGTGCATACTGGTAGGCACTGACCGGAGCCCGGAGGCCATTCTCAACAGGCATGTCCAGTTCACCTCGTGGGATCTTGGTAGGAAATTCAGAGAGTAGCACGGGCTTCTCCAGCCTGGGGTTCTGCGAGTGAGAAGGACAACATTACCAGCTGGCTGGAAGATCTGAACCTACTATCCACCTGTCTCTCTGCTGAGGCCATCGTTTTTTGGATCTCTCCTCTACTTGTTTTCCCTCCCTGGGTATTGAGGCCAAAATCATCCTTAGGGGAACCCCCAATCTGTGAATTTTTCATAGATCTGACTGAATGTGGCCTTGCTCCAGAGCCTGGATCAGGACCCAAGGCCAAGAACAGCCTGGCCAAGATGGTGAAACCCCATCTCTGCTAAAAATACAAAAATTAGCCGGTTGTGGTGGCATGCACCTGTAATCCCAGCTACTCAGGAGGCTGAGGCAGGAGAATCACCTGAACCTGGGAAGCAGAGGTCGCAGAGACTACATCCTAATGACACATGTGAAGCCCTGGATCCTTCTCGGCCCAGACTTTTCAGTTGAATAAGGCAATAAATTCTTTTTGTGTGTAAGTCCATTTTAGTTGTTTTTCAGTCACTTGTAATCCTTCCTCTGTATTTGAAGCGCATCTCACAAAGATTCTTATCCAGGGGTCCTGAATACCCAATAATCCTTGGATAACAAGAGCTTGAAAAGTAGCTGCTTCCTAAAAACTATAAACTAAAAAACTGATACAGGCAACAATAACTAACATTTAAAGCACAGCAGAAATCACCATGAACAAAGTCAAAAGACACATGAAGAAACTAGAAAAATATTTTCAACGTATATGACAGAAAAGAGACTAATTTTCTAAAAGTATAAAGAGCTTTTTTTTTTTCAAGACAGAGTCTTGCTCTATCACCAGGCTGGAGTGCAGTGGTGTGATCTTGGCTCACTGCAATCTCTACCTCCCGGGTTCAAGCGATTCTCCTGCCTCAGCCTCCTGAGTAACCGGGATTACAGGCACACACCACCACACCCAGCTAATTTGTTTGTATTTTTAATAGAGACGGGGTTTCACCATGTTGGCCAGAACGGTCTCAATCTCCTGACCTTGTGGGAGGCTGCCTCAGCTTCCCAAAGTATTGCAATTATAGGTGTGAGCCACCACACCCAGCCAAAGAGCTCTTAAAAGTCAGTTTTTTGTTTGTTTGTTTTTGAGACAGTTTTCCTGTGTCACTTAGGCTGGAGTGCAGTGGCACAATCTTGGCTCATTGTAACCTCTGCCTCCTGGGTTCAAGCAGTTTTCCTGCCTCAGTCTCCCAGGTAGCTGGGATTACATGTGTGCAACCACCATCCCCAGCTGATTCTGTATTTGTGTAGAGACAGGGTTTCACCATGTCAGCCAGGCTGATCTCAAACTCCTGACCTCAAGTGATCTGCCCTCCTCAGCTTCCCAAGTACTGGGATTGAAGGCATGAGCCACCACACCCAGCCAAAAGTCAGTTTTTAAAAGCCTACCTACCGAACAAAAATAGCAGGCAGAGGATACTAATATGCAGCCTATAGCAAAATACATAGATATACATGGCATTGAAAAAATATTCATCCTCACTAATCATTACTAATATAAAATTAAAACAACAAAATATCACTTTTAGGTATCATATTGACAAATATTTTTAAAGTCTGTTATTACTTAGTGTTGGCTGAGAATGTAAATTGCTACAATCTCTTTGGTGGACAATTCTGCATCATCCTTCAATCAAAAAAAATTTTTTTCTTCTCTCTGCAGATCTTCAGTAAAAAATAATAATAATTTCTTTTAGAGAAGAATGTATACTTTGTACCAACAAGCCCATTTCACAGATTTCCTGTCTCATTAGTGCAAAGCCTGAAGGTCATCATTGGGCAAGCAGGAAATTGTGGCCAGTACTTCTATTGGAATGCTCTGTAACCAGTGAAAAGAATGAAGGGGCCGGGTGCAGTGGCTCACACCTGTAATCCAAGCACTTTGGGAGGCTGAGGCAGGTAGATCACCTGAGGTCAGGAGTTCTAGACCAGCCTTGCCAATATGGTGAAACCCCATCTCTGCTAAAAATACAAAAATTAGCTGGGCATGGTGGCATGCACCTATAGTCCCAGCTACCCAGGAGGCTGAGGCAGGAGAATTACTTGAACCTGGGAGGCGGAGGTTGCAGTAAACTGAGAGTGCACCATTGCACTCCAGCCTGGGCAACAAGCAAGACTCCATCTCAAAAAAATAAATAAATAAATAAAATTAAGGAAGTCTCCACAGGCTGGCATGGAAAGATGTCCAAGATTTTATGTATAATCTATATTATCTAGCTTCTAACATATATATGTTAATATATGGTAAAGCAAAGAACACTTTCCATAGTAAGTTTCCATTTATGAGTGTGTGTTTCTTCTCTTTCTCCCGTTAGCGTCAGGGCCTCACTATGTTGCCCACGCTGGTCTTGAACTCCTGGTCTCAAGTGATCCTCCCACCTCAGCCTCCCAAAACATTGGGATTACAAGCATGTGCCACCAAGTCCAACCTTTTTTTTCCCTTGTTTTTTTAATGGTTCCTTCTGAACTATGCAGGCCGACTGATGCCATCTCATGGGGAGACTGTTTCTTGGTGGTCTAAGTCAGTGCTTCTCAAACTTTGATTTGTATGTGGGTTGCCTAGGATATTGTTAAAGTCCACATTCTGATTCAATAGGTCTGGGCTGGGGCCGGAAATTCAGCACTTCTAAGAATTTCCTGCTGATGTTTAGAATGGCAAAGATCTGAGACACGGATCCCATCTTGGATGCACATTGGCATCATCTAGAAAGTTAAAAAAAAAACAAAAACCTGTACAGGCCAGGCGTGGTGGCTCACACTTGTAATGCCAGCACTTTGGGAGGCTGAGGTAGATGGATCACCTGAGGTCTGGAGTTCCAGACCAGCCTGGCCTGGCTAACATGATGAAACCTGTCTCTACTAAAAGAAAAATACAGAAATGAGATGGGCGTAGTGACACATCTCTAATCCCAGCTACTCAGGAAGCTGAGGCAAGAAAATTGTTTGAACCAGGAGGTGTAGGTTGCAGTAAGCTGATATTGCACCACTGCACTCCAGCCTGGGCAAAAACACACACACACATACACACACACACACCACTACCACCAATCTGAAATATCACATAGTATATGATTCCAAGTATGTAACATTTTGGAAAAGCAAGACTGTGGAGACAGTAGAAGATCAGTGGTTGCTAGGGTTTGGGGAGGAAGCACAAGTAGTGAGACAGCCCTGGTCTCTTTAACCAGTTGTTCACAAATTAAACTGTCTATTATAACCACCTAAACCATTTGGTGAGATCATTCTGTGTGACACTATCATATCATGATAGACATGTGACATTACGCATTTGTCGAAAAACCCACAGGAGGTACAACACAAAGAGCAAACCCGAGGTACACTATGGGCTTTAGTTCATAATAATGTATCAATATTGGCTCATCAGTGGTAACATAAGACCACACTGGTGCGAGTTGTTAATAACAGGGAAACCAGGGTGGAGGGGGTGTATATGGGAAAGATCTGCACTTTCCACTCATTTTTCTAGAGTTCTAAAACTACTTTAAAAAATTAATAAAGTCTACTGGTTTAAAAAGAAAAAAGGCCTGCTTGGTGCGGTGGCTCATGCTTATAATCCCAGCACTTTGGGAGGCTGAAATGGGAGGATGGCTTCAGCCTAAGAGTTGGAGACCAGCATGGGCAACATAATGAGACCCCCTCTTTACAAAATTTAAAAGTTAGGCCAGATACAGTGGCTCACACCTGTAATCACAGTACTCTGGGAGACCAAGGCTGGCAGATCACAAGGCCAGGAGTTCGAGACCAGTCTGGCCAATATGGTGAAATCTTGTCTCTACTAAAAATACAAAAATTAGCCAAGTGTGGTGGTGGAGAAGCAGAGGGTGGGGGGAGCTACTCAGGAGCCTGAGGCAGGAGAATTGCTTGAACCCAGGAGGCGGAGGTTGCAGTGAGCCAAGATTACGCCACTGCACTCCAGCATGGGCAATAGAGACAGAACAAGACTCCATCTTAAAAAAAAAAAAAAAATTAGCTGGGCATGGTGATAGTGTGTGCCTGTGGTCCCAGCTACATGGGAGGCTGGGCAAGAGGATCACTCGAGCCCAGGAGGTCGAGGTTGCAGTGAGCCATGTTTGCACCACTGCAGTCTAATTTGAGTGACAGAATGAGACCCTGTCCCCACTCCAAAAAAACCCACCTATATCCATCTCCAGTGTCAGAAATGAGAGCACTGAAGAAAGAAGGAATAACTCCAGCCTGAAGCATGCAGGTTAAAGGAAAGAGGTTTTCTCATGATGCAGGGAACTTCTAAATGTATTTTTTGCCTAATGCTTAATGAGGTACAAATGATGGGCTGAGTCCCATACAAATAGGCACCATCATCTTGGCACTGTTGAACTGAGATACTGGAAAACAGGAAGGTTAAACAAAACCCCCACATTTTGTGTTCTGGGGAATGGCTGACTGCACAGAATCACTCTTCCTTATAGGATTTCCAGAATGCTCAGATGACCCCTCTTTTTCCTAGGACAACCTGACACAGTTCCCCAAATTCTCATTCTTTCTCTCTGCAATGATTAGCTAAACTCTTTTCACCACATTTAATCAATTGAAATTCAATGCTTGCTAAATGATTTTTTTTTTTTTGAGACAGAGTCTAACTCTGTCGCCCAGGTTGCAGTGCAGTGGTTTGATCTTGGCTCACTGCAACCTTGACCTCCCAGGTTCAAGTAATTCTCCTGCCTCAGCCTCCCAAGTAGCTGGGATTACAGGCACCTGCCATCATGCCCGGCTATTTTTAGTAGAGGCAGGGTTTTGCCATGTTGGCCAGGCTAGTCTCAAACTCCTGACCTCAGATGATCCTCCCTCCTGGGCCTCTTAAAGCGCTGAGATTACAGGTGTGAGCCACTGTGCCCAGCGGTAAATGATTTAACTAAATTTTAGTTAAGCTGTTTCCCTCCCTACAGGATCCTGGACTTTGACTCACCCAGAGGGTAAGCAAGCACTGCAATGCAGAAAACCTCTCCTGAAGACCCTTC